TAATTAAAGACAAATTATCCTACTGTCGATTATGAAGACAAGATGGTCTTTACTACATGAAATTCATGGATGTGTGACAAAAGGTGGAGCCTCGTCATGCAAATATATTCAAAGTCAAAGGGGCCGACCATCGACTCTTGTGGAAATTCGTTTTTTCACATTGCAGACTTATAGGCCCTATTTACCCTTCCTATTGAGGGCGCATAGTACTTAAAGATCGTGACCTTTCTTCCCTTTCTCTTTCTCTCTTTTGCGGATTTTGTGTGTGTGCACCCAGGGGCGTCGCTAGACCTTTTTCAGTGGGGGAGGGGGGGGGGGTGTAGAGGCCAACGATTACCGACAAAAGTAGCCACCAATTACCGACAAAATTAAATTTCCAATATCTACAAAGTCACCCCTATAAACCTGGGGCCGAAGGCTAAATTGTTTTTCCTATGGACTATCTATAGTACTTGCATATGCGCAAAATGGTCATTTTCCTCGACGACATTAATATACGAATTATTTCTTAAATTTAGTCAGCATCATAGCTATATATTTTATTGCAGGCGCGGAGCTAGGATCTTATTTTAGGGAGGGGCGGTAGTGAGCAAGAGAATCACTTAAAAGCGCGCTCATAAGGGGTGTGGGTGATGAGCCTCCCGCGCAAAGCGCGGAAGCTTAGACGTTTCCTTAAATTATTAGGAAAAGAAGACGATTAATTGTACCGTTTTCGACTGGTAATCCTAGGCTGAATGAAGTTTCCCCCCCCCCTCCCGCGCGAAGCGCTAAAGCTTTGACGTTTCATTAAATTATTATAAAAAAAGAAGACGATTTGCTGTACCATTCTCGACTGTTTATCCTTTTCTGAATTCAGTATCCCCCCCCCGCGCAAAGCGCGGAAGCTTTGACGTTTCATTAAATTATGAGAAAAAGCAGACGATTCGGTGTACTGTTCTCGACTCTTAATCCTAATCTGAATGAAGCTTCCCCCTCCCGCGCGAAGCGCGGAAGTTTTGACGTTTTATTAAATTATTAGAGAAAGAAGACGATTCGTCGTACCGTTTTCGACTCTTAATAAGCCCTATTCATCTGAATTCAGTTTCCCCCTCTCGCGCGAAGCGCGAAAGCTTTGACGTTTCCTCATATCATTCGAGAATGAACACGATTCGGTGTACCGTTTTTGACTTTAAATAAGCCCTATTAATTTTGTCTGAATACAGTTTCCCCCTCTCGCGCGAAGCGCGGAAGCTTTGACTTTTCATTAAATTATGAGCAAAAGCAGACGATTCGGTGTATTGTTCTCGACTCTTAATCTTAATCTGAATGAAGCTTATTAGAGAAAGAAGACGATTCGTCGTATCGTTTTCGACTCTTAATAAGCCCTATTCATCTGAATTCAGTTTCCCCCTCTCGCGCGAAGCGCGAAAGCTTTTACGTTTCCTCATATCATTAGAGAAAGAAGTTTTGGAAATTATTAGAGAAAGAAGACGATTCGTCGTATCGTTTTCGACTCTTAATAAGCCCTATTCATCTGAATTCAGTTTCCCCCTCTCGCGCGAAGCGCGAAAGCTTTTACGTTTCCTCATATCATTAGAGAAAGAACACGATTCGTTGTACCGTTTTCGACTTTTAATAAACCCTATTGATTTTGTCTGAATTCAGTTTCCCCCTCTCGCGCGAAGCGCGGAAGCTTCGACGTTTCCTTAAATTATTAGAGAAAGAACACGATTCGTTGTACCGTTTTCGACTCTTAATCTTAATTATCAGTTTCCCCCTCTCCCCCTCTCGCGCGAAGCGCGAAAGTTTTTACGTTTCCTTAAATTATTAGAGAAAGAAGACGATTCGTCGTTCCGTTCTTTTAATAAGCCCTTTTAATTTTGTCTGAATTCAGTTTCCCCCCTCTCGCGCGAAGCGCGGAAGCTTTGACGTTTCCTTAAATTATTAGAGAAATAATATTTAAGATTTATATAGCGCTGGTATACAAGTACAGTTTCTAAGCGCTTTACAAAACAAGTGAAATGAAAAGTACGGTTAAACTAAATATGTGATAAGGATCAACAAGAAACATGAAATAAACAATGCGCTTAATTTGGACGAATTACTTAACTAACAATGTATAACAATAACATGATAATGAAAAATGAAAATGTAAATACAATAATTAAGTATCATTAATGAAACTGCAATAATTATGTACATTAGACAATAAATAGATTACAAGAAGATAGGACATGTGGTTATAAATACGGTATGATGATGGACAATTACTTCGTGTTGAATAGATAGGTCTTAAGTCTACGTTTAAAAGTGTCAAGAGTTGGGGATTCACGGACAGAGACGGGGAGATTATTCCAGAGTTTAGGAGCACATACAGAGAAGGCACGATCTCCATAGCGGGTGTGAGTTCGAGGACCAGATGATAGTTGAAGATGAACAGATGATGATGAGCGGAGCCTGATGGAGGAGGTTTGCACCTTTGGTGAAATGAGTCCATTGATGTATACTGGAGCAAGTCCATTACGGGCCTTGTAGGTGAGAAGCAGTACCTTGAATTGGATGCGCTGTGGAATGGGGAGCCAGTGAAGAGAACGAAGAATAGGTGTTATGTGAGAAGAAAGAAAGAAGACGATTCGTCGTTCCGTTCTCGACTCGTCTAAATGAAGATTCCCCTTCCGCGCGAAGCGCGGAGTTTTTGGCGTTTCATCACAATATAGAGAAAGGAAGACGATTCCTCGTACCGTTTTCGAATCTTATTAAGCCCTATTCATCTGAATTCAGTTTACCCCTCTCGCGCGAAGCGCGAAAGCTTTGATGTTTCCTCAAATTATTAGAGAAAGAACACGATTCGTTGTACCGTTCTCGACTCTAAATGAGCCCTATTAATTTTGTCTGAATTCAGTTTCCCCCTCTCGCGCGAAGCGCGGAAGCTTTGGCGTTTTATCACAATATAGAGAAAGGAAGACGATTCCTCATACCGTTTTCGACTTTTAGTAAGCCCTATTTGTCTGAATTCAGTTTCCCCCTCTCACGCGAAGCGCGGAAGCTTTGACGTTTCCTTAAATTATTAGAGAAAGAAGACGATTCGTTGTACCGTTCTCGATTCGTCTAAATGAAGTTTCCCCTTCCGCGCGAAGCGCGGAATTTTTGGCGTTTCATCACAATTATAAAGAAAGGAAAATGATTCGTCGTACCGTTGTTGACTCTTAAACCTTGTTTAAATTTAGTTTCCCCGAAAATTTTAAACCTCTGATTTCTTTAGCTGATATTATAGGAAAGTGAAACTTCTAGAAAATACAAGTTTTGTAGTTGTAGTCACTCTCGAAGTCGTCACCGCGGATAAGAAGTCGCAGTTCGTAGGGAAAAAAACTTGTCGGCCGACCGACAATATACATCTCACCGACTTCAAACTTATGCATTGATGAGGATCGAGCAAGAATACCGACACAGCTGACCCGAAACAGCAACATAATTTACCCGTGTCTTTCTTGCTCCCTCGACGAGACGACTCCACCCAACAACCCCCTTTTCTCTTTTACTCCCACTCCTCCTCTCTCAGACTCTTACCTCCCCTCTCTCTCCTCTCTTTCATCCCCCGTTTCTTTTGTTTCCCTTTCACTCTTTTTTCTTCTTTTTTTCCTTTTCTTTCTTTTCTTTCTTTTCCTTTCTTTCCTCTCCCCCCTCTTTTTCTTTTTTCTCTTTCTTTGTTCTCTTTTCTTTCCTTTCTTTTCCTTTCTTTCCTTTCTTTCTTTTCTTTTCCTTTTCTTTTTTTCTTTTCTTTCCCTTCCCCTCTCTTTTTTTTCCCTCTTTTTTTTCCCTCTCTTTTTTTCCCTCTCTTTTTTTCCCTCTCTTTTTTTCCCTCTCTTTTTTTCCCTCTCTTTTTTTCCCTCTCTTTTTTCCCTCTCTTTTTTTCCCTCCCCCTTTTCTCTTTTTCCCGACAGCAGCGCAATTTTACCGACAATATCCTGACAGGTGGGGGGGGGGGGGGGTGTCGCACCCCCACACCCCCCCCCCTTTGGAGACGCCCCTGTGTGCACCCCTTCAAGTTGCACCGGGGACATTGCCCACTGCCCCTCCCATCTTAGATATGCCTGTGTACAGTGCCCAGGTTGTAGATAGGGGTTAAATCAGGCATGTGTGGAGAAAACCCGCAGGATCTTAAATGGTCCCCAAAATATCTTAGATTAACACAAAAATGATGAAACAATATTATTTTTTGGGGGGGCAGGGGGGGGGGGAGGGACAGGAGGCGCTTTTGGAGGAAATATTTAGCGGCGACTCAGCTAGCCGATGAATAAGCCGGGGGGGGGGGGGGGGGGGGCGACTGAGGCCCGATGTCTGTCTCCATAACGTGATTAGTACACTTGCCATAAAGCCCGACGCATATCGGATAGGCTAGGAGGGGGGAGGGGAGAAACACTATTTATTTTTGTTTAATTTTTTTTTTTTTTGGATTTTGATTATGATTCTTTTTGTTTTTGTTATGGGGTGCGCTTTAGTTTTTTGTTTAAAAAAAGTAAAATTAACGTTACCATCTTATTTTTTTTTGTTGCTGGGGGGGGGGGGGGGGTGCTAGGCCCGTCGGGCAACTCAACCCCCCCCCCCCCCCCTCTTGTGTGCCGCGTCTGCATGCATGCATTATATAATCATGGGTTCAATTACATCGTATACATCCTGAATTTATTGCTGGTTATTTTTTAAAGGGGTGCAAAAGGAAATTATGATCCTTACTTTTTGACCCCCGTTTCGACCCCACTTTTTCAAAAAGACAGTGTCCAAACAGAAAAGTCCCACCACTGATAAGAGAGCCCCACCCCCATATATGTGGTCTAATATCAAGACGTCGATGTACTTACAAATACACTTACTTAACGAAAGATAAGACATCCTTGTTCTGTTTATTATCAACATCAAATTTTTATGCATTTCTATCTATTTTTTAAATTTTCTTTAATTGTAAGTCCACTTATCAGCTGATTATGAACATTGTTCTTTCTCATTTTCTCACACTTTGCTTGCAAAAGAGACTAGTCCAATAATTCTATCCAAGATGGCAGCTTCCACGGCATCACAATTTCTGAAGATGTGGAGCATGTTATTGCTGTTTTTCGCCTGTTTCTCGTCTTTGTTATCAACTAGTTCCTGCGAAAGGACCATCAAACTTGTGAATTTGGTAATATGTCCGATATAAGCTTCATTATTAAGTTAGATATTGCCGTTTTTCCCTTTTTATTTTAGATTTAGTCGGCATTGTGCATTATTGCAAGTTGTACTACTGCACTGCCAATGCACTGGCGGTACAGCTGCATGCAGTGAGCCGCGCCGCCCAGCCGGCCGTGGGGGAAAAGCCTCAAAGGCCTCCTCGTTTATTTTTAGCAGTGACAAACACAATACATGCAGCTGCTCCAGACATGAAAGTGATGTGTTCTACCCCTTCTTCTTTATTAGACAACAACCATCTCGGCAAATCTTTTTCTTTAAATATCATTTAGTCTAGATCTAGAGTCTAGAATCTATTGTCAAATTGAAAACCCGTTTTTTGTAAAATTGCAAATAAAATACAGACGGAAATATGAATGTAGATCTAAGTAGATCTAGACTCTAGTCTACTACTTTTCTTCACAAATAGTTACGTTTAAAGCAGTTTTTTATGTGAAATTCGTGCCGGTCGGAAGCAGTGTTTTTCATCAGGAGTGGTGGGCGCTGGGCAGAAGTCCTCCGTGCTGGTCGGGCCTGCCCGGCTTGCTCAGTGCCGACCACAGTAGCTATAACGCTGCTTGCTATTACATTACTGAACCCCGAACGAACCAGTTCGGGTAAAAAATTGCCGAACTGTGCCGAACCGAACCCGAACATGGCGCCTGACTTCACAGCACTAGTGGGGATTCTGGGGAGGTCCTAAGAGGGCTAAGACTCCTGTGCCGGAAGAAGTATCAGACTCGTAAAAATGCCAGAGGAAAAAAAACAGATAAAATTGTCAGAGGTAAAATTGCAGAGGTAAAAATGGCAGGGGTAATATTTCTAAAATAATTCTGGTAAAAAGTCTGGAGAGAATTTTTTTTTTGTCAGACTCGGAGGTAAAAATGTCAGAGGTAATGATGTCAGAGATAAAAATAGAGGTAAAACATGCCATAACCCAGAGGTAAAAATGTCAGTGGTAAAAATATCTGAACAAGCCTTGATCATATACTACTTATTTATACCTGTAGGCTAAAGCTATATCGGAGAAAGAATACCTATCATCCTTGAATGTAACGTCAATGGATACATTTTAAAGAGAAATATGGCTTTCAACAAAGAAAAATTCAGTTTATAATTTGAAAATTCAGAAGTGAATGTGATGCCACAAAGAGATGCAAATGTATAAAAAAAATGTTTACAAAACGGATATGAAATAGTAGTGTACACTGTACATAGTCTTTGCCCAAAACATAAACTGACTGAATTGCAAAGACAATTAGATAATATGATGGAACAATAATTACAGAGTATTGTCTAAACTACTGTTTTATTTTTTCCTTCAGTTGTATCGTCATGGTGATAGGTCGCCTGCACGAGGCTACCCAAATGACAACTATACGGAAGACACATGGCCCCAAGGTTTCGGACAGCTCACCAAGGTATGACTTAGAACTTTTCCTCTGGGGGGAGGGGGGGGGGGGGGTATGTCACATAAACTCACATTTGAGCACTTTACATCTTCCGTGTACATTGCCTTCTGAAAAGCACCCTAGATGAGGATCAAACTCTAGAGTAGTTTTGATACCCTATACAAAATGATACAAATTTGATGATAATAACTTTGCAGCACATAAAACAACTTAGAAATTAAAAAATGTCTCAAAAAGACAACATCTTTATGATAATTGTCCCCTTGGGTTTCATTTCTGGTTTTCTCTGGATAAAATGGCACTTCTGTTTACAAGTCTGTTTTATTTTTCTACGATAGAGTGGCATGGCCCAACAGTATGAGCTGGGGCAGTGGCTGAGGAAGCGTTACGTGACCGACCTGAAACTGTTTGACGGCATCTACCGCCCGAAACAATTCTACGTTCATAGCTCACCGAAAGAGCGCACCATCATGTCGGCACAATCCAACCTGCAGGGTTTCTTTCCAGCAGAGTCAGGGGGAGGGAAGCCATCAAGTGGAACACCTCCATGGCCACCAGTGCCAGTGTTTACTGTGGCCGAAGAGCAAGATTATGTAAGTATGTCCCTGGTTTATCCTCCCTACAGGATGATGTCATGTACTTGATTGCGAAATTAATTGTCTATTAATTATAGTGAACTTAGTGAAGGGGTGATTATTTAGTCAATATAAATAATTGAATGCATTAGATAATAATGGGCTCAGCTCTATCAAAACAGTTCTGAAGTATTTACAAAGAAGCTTGGTATCTTGATAAGTTTTAAAAGAAATCCAACTTTGAAAGCAAAATATTCTCAAAGAAAGAAAAAGCAGAGAGACAGACTGGTTAAAGTGTGAATTTTAGAAATTTGAAATCAATGGGAATAATGTATTGGCTGAATTGGTAATGTACTGCAGAATTCATTAATTTCTAATTTGTCTAACTAATATTTGTCAATTGTACCCTAAATTTGATAATTGCATTTAAATGTTTTAACTATCCCCTTCATGAAACAAATCTATTCCTTCATTAATAAATTGGAATGCTTGAAATTGTTAATATTAGCCTATTAATAATACAAAGTAAATGAAAGAGGACCTTTAAAGATACTATGTCCCTTTTGCAGCCAACCTCAAATTCTGTTGAACTTTGCAGGAATTATGAATATGTCATGTATGTCCTATCTGTGAAATTTAAATGTGTCCTAATATTCAAATTATGCATGGAAACCTGTTTACTTGCTAGACTTCACTGTCAGACACTATTGTCAGTATTGAGTGACTGACTGGCTTTTTCTTCTTCTTTGGTAATAGCATACCGGTACATAAAATGAGCTGTTAAGGATTTGTCTACCGGTACATCAATAACCCACTTCTTGTAATGGCCAAAATTAAACTGATTGAATCTTTGCGCAGCATAAAACGTACGACCATTTGGTACAATGGTCTGAAAATCAAGACTATTACTTATTAGCTCCTAAGTCGATTTGACAACTAATAGTCGTTATTTTCCCACTTAAAGATATTTTCAAGCCCCATTTTTTTAAGGGGAGTTCTAACTTAGTATTATCTTTCAAATGCCATTGGAATTTAACCTTTTCATTTTTTGTGCCTGCAAAAGGGACATAGTACCTTTAAAGCTATATCACAGAGTTGCCAATTTGTATATCATTGATTACAACTTCAAAAATGTAAATCTTTCTAATTTGTCTCTAATACAACTTTTATTTTTCTGCTTTCATAAACAATTTTAAATACCAGAATGCACTTTCCCTAGCTTATTGAACCCCGTTTTTATTTTCTACACAGTTACTGAGTGGAAGCAAGATACAAAATTGTGATACTGTGAGGGATTTCTTTCAATACGCAGAGAACAGCCCTGCCGAGCAGCAATATATTAAAGATAACCAGGTAGGTCCGGGCTCTATCTTATAAAGAGTTCCAAGACCTCCAATCAACCGCAAGTTTGCAGTCTCCTACGTCTTATGTACATGATGGTGATTGATATCAACTCTTTATAAGATGGGCCCAGTTCTCAAAGGCTTCTGTACTTTTCCAAACCTGACACTTTTGTTTGATTAATGAAAATTTCTTGCCATGACAGAGATCAACGATGCCTGTCATCAAATTAAATTGAGAAATTTGGGAAGATTCTTGCCACGAAAAACATTCTTTGTTCATCATCATCATCCAGTGGGTTCCCTCTATGGGGGAGGGGGGGATGGGGGTGGGGGGGGGGGGGGGGTCAGGGTTGGGTCTCTTTGTTACTGCTCTCCATCTCATCCTGTTAGTAGGTATTTACAAGTCGGTTTCTCTACCGTTTACCTTGATACAATCATGCTCAAGACAAGCTGCATGCATGATATACAATTAAGAATAGTTTCAAAACGGCTTCTGAAAGGCCATTCCTTTACAGGAACTCAAGATGACCTTTACAGTTTATTACTTTGAAAATTGGCAACGCATCTTTGGAAAGCACCCTCCTCGCTAGCACTCTGTATACAGGATCTGTTGTTGTGAAGATGGCCTCTTGGTTTGTGAGAAATTTAAATTATCTTGATATATTTTCTATCGCTAGACTTTCTTTGATAGAGTTCAAGAGAAAGCTGGACTGACAGGAGACGTTGTCTTTGAGGATTTCTATCATCTTGGAGATAGTTTGATAAGAGAGGTGAGTGGTAGATTTGTGCTTTGAGACTTTGTAATGAGAGAGAGAAAGAGAGAGAGGGAGAGAGAGAGAGAGAGAGAGAGAGAGGGAGAGGGAGGGAGGGGAGGGAGGGGGGAGGGAGAGAGAGAGGGAGAGGGAGGGAGGGAGGGAGAGAGAGGGAGGGAGGGAGAGAGAGACACACACACACAGACAGAGAGACAGACAGACAGAGATACATAGACAGACAGAGACAGAGAGACATAGACAGAGAGAGAGACAGAGAGAGAGAGAGAGAGATCATTCATTTATCCATCCATTCATTTTGGTTTATTGTAAGAAAATTTCTTGTAAAATAAGTCCAAAGACCGATACATGTTTAAAAATTATATTAAATAATCAAATTAACTGCATACATTAATTGTTGCTAGGTTGGACCAAAATATAGCTTGTCCTAACACTAACAATGTATGCAATTTGCATTCTGACAATTGAAGTGCAATCATTCAGGAAATGAATAAAATGATTTGTAACGAGGCACTAAACAAAGATTTGTGCATTAAATTGTATTAAATTACGAAGATGGTCTATTGTTAACTCGCCATGTCTTTTAAACAGCAGCATTGTTTTCTTTATTTTGTTTCTGTTTAGCATAAAGAAGGCAGAAATTTACCGGAATGGGCGGATGACGAAACCTTCAACAGATTAAAAGCTACACAAGACTATGCCTTTGAAGCAGAGTTCTCCAATATGACAACAGATGAGAAAAGAATAACTTCAGGTTGGAATCTTTTTGAAGTTGAAGTTCAATTTAATCAATTGCAATGGAGAAAAAAATATATATACAGTGAAACCTGTCCATAAAGACCACTCAAGGGAGAAAAGAAAAGTGGTCTTTATAGGCAGGTGGTCTTTGAAGACAGGTTCCTTTAGTGCATGTTTCAATAAGAAAGCATCTTCAAGGGAAACAAAAAATGTGGTCTTTGTAGACAGGTGGTCACTAAAGCAGGTAAAAGTGTATATTTATATACAAACCTGGTTCATTGACCACTTGCATAGAAAGACTGGCTATGTTGTAGTTTAGGAAACCAATTGTTTTTGCATAGACACAATTTTGTGTGGAGTCTATCTATGAATTGGAAAAGAATGAACCAGTGCTTGTGATGAAATGAAGCGCTACTGCGTGGAGTTAATGGTAGTTTCCCATTTAAAGATTATGCCAAAAGGCCACCTTTCTATAATGACGTTATTTAACCTTTTCCTTGGGAAGTGTTTCCTAGTGAAACCTGTATTTAAGGAACCTGTACATGAAGACCTCCTACTCATAAAGACGGACTTTATGCCTTTGAGTGGTCTTAATATTACAAAGTTTTTCTGTATATACCTGCCTGTAAGAATTAGAGATAAAGTCACAGTTTAATTCTTACAGTGGAGATGAGAGCATAGATCTGTTGTACAAAACCACTAATTAATAAGCCAGAAATACAACTCTGTTTAGAGCCCATATTACTTGTGTATTTGTTGCAAATCAGAGTTGAATTTTGTGAATTGTTTTGGTGAAAGAATGCTGAATGGTGGGTCATTTTCAACTCTGCTAACTATTATGCATTATGCCTTTGAATATGAAGTGACACCACTGCTTTCATGACCAAGCTGGTGACAAATTTGTGACTGAAAAAGCCCCAAATAGAGTTGTGTCGGATCATTTTGCTCTCGTAAAATCACTGTTTGCTGGTTAAATGTATTCGCATTCTTCTAATTTCCATAATCTCTCCAACTTTTGTCTTTTTAGGAGTTCTTATAGCAGCGATGGTTGCAAATATGAAGGCTCATTTAAACAGAACAAACAATGACAGTAGGATATTCATGTACTCTGGGGTAAGTTGAGACGCTTCTTTCATGCTAAACCAAAACCAGTTCATATAAAAATGAAAAAAACATGAATCCATTTTGTTGGTTTTTACATTCTTACACCGGTTACCAACCAGATTAAGTTCAATATCTTGCTGCTACCTTTCCAATGTTTTCATGACCAGGGGGTGTTTCAAAAAAAGACTAAGATCAACTTTAAGTTGGACCTAACTGTAACAGGCCGTTCATGCCACCGTTTGCTCTCACCATTATGATCTTTAGATTATATTTTTGCCTTCAATAATTAATTATCAAAAAATGTAGATTTGTGACCACGATTTGTACGTCCCTTGAAAGACCAATGCCAGTAAATGGTGAGAGCAAGCAGTGGCATGAACGGCCTGCCATAGTTCAAGTCCAACCTAAGTCTATCTTATTCTTTGTGAAACACTCCTCAGTCCCTCGGATAGGACGTTAAATGGAGGCCCAGTGTACAGGAGAGTCACCACCCTTGCACGTTAAGAACCCATTGCACTATTCGTATAAGAGTAGGGGGAAACCCCGGTGTAATGGTCCACCTGCACACCCCAATCAGGCCGAGTATACGGCATCTGCAAGAATCTTCAGTATTGAAGGAGGCAGATTATCTTGAAGAAGAAGAAGAAGAAGAAGAAGAGAAATGAATTTAAATTTTCTACAGTTCTACCGGTATGCATTTAAATTTTAAGCACCAAACCTATCCCTGCTCCCTCTCCCAGTAACCATCATGTTGCTGACTCGATTATATTTTGTCTCTTTACCCTCAGCACGATAGCAACATAGCACCGTTTTTAGGTACATTTGGTTTGTTCACAAACGTCGAACCTCCCACCGCTTCCTGTATGATGGTGGAACTGTACAAAGAAGACGATGGGTGAGTTGGACGTCTCCATTTGGACTTGGAAAATTAAATTGAATGATTTTGTCTTTTTGTTTCTCTTTCTCACAGTTATTTTAAGAATTGACATGTTTAACCACTTAAAGGTAAAGACCAGTTTTGGAAACGCCCCAATCTCAAAAAATGAAATGGAAGCTCTCATTACCAATCATGTGAAAGAATATGTTTTGACTAATACATGATGATAAAAAATTTGCCGGGAAACCACCTACTAATTCATATATTTGGTAAATTTATTTCTCTCATGGTCTGTGAGAGATATAGGGTAGTCCCATATACATCTTTCTGTGTATAGTGCCTGTAACTTTACGAAGAATGGGCCAAATTTCTTATCATTTTGATGATTCCAGAACCTTGCAGATGCTAGATGCTAGATGATCAACCTTTTCTGATCGATTCCACAACGTTTCTTTCACAATGCAATCGCATGACCATAACTGGTCTTTACCTTTAACCTCCAAGTTCCAAGAGTTGAAATGAGAAATGTTAGGCTCTAAATCTTGTTAGCATCTTTTTTTCCTTCTCTCTCTCTCTCTCTCTCTCTCTCTCTCTCTCTCTCTTTCTCCCTGGGTCACAAACCATGTAGTTACTGATGACAAAAAGTGTCATTCAGAAATGACACTTCAAAGCCACCATACCTTCTCAAGTTCTTAAAGTGCAGTCAGAAATGTCCAGTTCAAAGCCTTGTTCCATGTTTCCATTATCATCTCTCTCTCTCCAGTTCACATACAGTGCAGTTATTATTAAGAAATGACACTTCAAAGCCACTTACCTTCTCAAGTTCTTAAAGTGCAGTCAGAATTGTCCTGTTCAAAGCCTTGTTCCATGTTTCTGTTATCAGCTCTCCCTCTCACTCTCTCTCTCCTACTCTCCAGTTCACATACAGTGCAGTTATTATTCAGAAATGACACTTCAAAGCCACCATACCTCCTCAAGTTCCTAGAATGCAATGAGAGATGCCCTGTTCAAAACTTCTTCCACATCGCGTCACCTTTCGTGGTCGATGACATCGATGAGCTATGCAGGAGAAAACCGCCATCGCTACCTCTCGACGTTGAGTGGAATATAGGTAGGTCCAATGAATTGAATCAATTTGAACAAACTCAGAACTCAGAAGCAGAACTTGTCAGAAGACTTCCAAATTCAAAGTTTGGCCGAACTAGAATAGGTGGATAGAACTTATGACATTTGCATTAATTCTATCCAAACTAAATCATTTGATGTGATCATTGGGAAAACAAGTAGATTTATTTACCGGGGCATCTTTTTACAAAACTGTCACTAATACAAGTTAGACAACGCATAAAACGCATGTAATAAAATAAACACACTAATGGCCTTTAGCAAGACATTAATCTACATTTGCCACTCTCCACCCAGGTGATAAATGGGTACTGGCAGGTAGGAATTCCTTGAATGCAGAGCCGGGGTAATGGTGGAAGCACCTTGAGCACCATGACTGGTGGATATGTGTGCTATATTAATATCCAATACAGTCAAACCTGCTTTAATGACCACCTGTCTACAACAAGCACATTTTTGTTTCCCTTGAAAATGGTTCCTCATTGAAACATGTACTAAAGGAACCTGTCTACACAGACCACTTTTTGTGTTTCCCTTGGGCGGTCGCTGTAGACAGGTTTGACTGTATTATTATTATTTAATGGGATGTCGGCGAACTTGTAGTTATATTTGGATTTGCCTTACATCCTGTTTTTCTAGGTTGGATACTATTTGCAAGCAGCTTGGCTCTAGCAGGTCTTCTTCCTCTCATAGTCTGTGTCTTACTTTCCTGTGGCGTCGGCGGGCGTCGCCGGCTACAGAACTCCAGGCAACGCCTGGAACCAATCAACTTCCACCTCTTGGGCGGTCCAAACAGCGAATCGGAAGACGAGAGCGTGTTTGACACATGACCCCACCATAAGCAGTAGACTAGAGCCATTCCATAGTATAGAAAGTTTGCGAAAATATTTTCTTTCATTATTTATTGATGCTGAATAATGCCTTGTTTCGCACATGACGTGTTAAACCACTATGGCAAAATATGTGCCAACCTATAGCCGTTCAGAGTCTATTATTAGAAGGTCTACATGAATAAGCTTTTCTTTCTCAAATTGGCAACATTTATTAATATCGTTGCCTCAAATTGGCAACATCTATTTGTATTTCTTTACTCTTTCACAGATTCAAAAATAGAAATATTTTATTTTTGTAATATGTTCACTCTTTATGTGCCACTAAAATAATAACATCAGGCCACATTGTACTTTAATATCATGGGATAGATATACCAAAGGCTTCAAGGTTATTTATTATTTAATCTATGCCAGTGTATTGAAAGCCTTTTAGTAATTTCTTCTCTTGATTGTCTCCATTACAAATTCTCTAGGAATTTAGTGGAATCTCAGGTACCTCAGTATTATTACAATGTCACTTTTGGATTCCTTGATGCCAGAAAAATCTAATTCTGGTTTACATATTAATGCAAAAAAATAATTCTAGATTCTGTTTTTCCAAAGTAGCATTATTTTTCTCATGTAACTCTAATTTTAATAGATTCCTCTACATAAATTTGTCCGAAAAGTATGAAGTTTCTACTTGTTATGCCAAATACATTGAAAAGAAAGATGTAGAATTTTTGCTAATTTTAAGACGTGTTGTAAATATTTCTTTTTAAAAAACATTCCAGGATTTTGTTAAGTATGAGTGACTTTCCATTTTGGGGGTAATTTTTAATGATGTGTGGAATTTTTATTTTTTATATGGGTTTGTAAAATTAAAACAATTGTATGTTTTTGAAAAATCTTGGTTGAGGGGAAACTTTCCATACACTAATTTTCATTTGGAATTGAAGCAATGGTACAAGATTTAACGAGGTCCATTAGGAGTTTTGCCTTAAAGATTTCTAGTTCACATTTTTAATAAAAATCCTCGAAAAAATAATAATGTAATCTTTGAGTACCCCAATGACTTTGATCTAACAATTCTGCCTACTAAATCAAAGTGTACCGTATTTATAAAAGGCATCTGTACCTACAATGTATTGTTGAATCTAAGCTGGATTTTAGCATGTCATATTATTTCGAAAAATGAAAGGAAAATAGGGATAACATTCTAGGACCTACACTAATTTGATTAACTAAAGCTAGAACTGCTGATTGATTTCAAAGGATTAAAGACAGCAGATACTGAAATAAAGCTTGAAAAAGAACAAGGACACTAGAGAGATCATAAAATAATTGGTATTATGTAGGAATTTTTGTTTTGTTGACGATGATGTACTCCAACAGGCCAATATGAGTATTCATAATTATCTTAAGATCTGAAATGAAGGAGATTCATGTTAGCGTATCATAACAACAAATTAATCTGCACTCTCAGTTTCAGATACACCATGATTTGATTATCGGACCTATTTCAAATGTGTGTGTAAGGGTGTGGGTAGATCGATTTTGAGAAGTAGTTGTGTGATGGTGTCTCAAAAGGGAAAATGTGCAATTGCTCTAATATATTTACAGTACTGAACAGATTTTCATGATTTGATTCATGTTTAATCCTGCATTGTTAACCAAACCATTCCAAATTTTGTGGTTTGACTTCCATAACTTTTGATTTATAGCCCTGCAAAAATATACTGGATGCAAAGCTAGAAAGGGCCCAAAGTTTTGTACACACTGCATCCATTTTGTTTCATGACTATATTGCTTTTGATGCTCGGAATTCAAAAAAGTAAAATAAATCTTTAAAATCCTTAAATTGGCACCACGTTGAGAGACTCAAAATCATTGTTTTTTTATCAAAAATTGTCTTTAATCAACATTTCGACAACATTCTCGCCCATGTATATTGTCAGAGATATTCCATTTTATTGTAACAGTGTAGCAAAAATATTTATGATAGCAATATTGTACCATGTTGTTGATCATCATAAAAATTGTTGTGAAGCATTCCAATAAATACAGAGATTATATTTTATTTTATGACAGAATTTTATTCCATTTCATACTTACAAAGCTGAGATTATCGTTTATCAATCTTGAATATGTTTACATTTGTATGTATGTTATGTGGATAGAATAGAGTTATCCAAAGTCTTATATGTTTGTGTTTAGGTTTTGTTTATAGATATTTTAAAATATTATAAAAATGTATATTTTGGACTTATCTCCATAAAGGAAGAGATAGAATCATAAAAAAGTTACCGATATTTATTTTGCAATCTAGCTACTTTGCAATATCCTTGTGTTTTTCGGTTTCATTTGTTTATAGATATTTAAAAATATTATAAAACCGTTTACTTTGGACTTATCTCCATAAAGGAAGAGATAGAATTGTACAAAATTTATTTTGCAATCCCTGCATTGCAATTACTGAAAAGAGGGTGATAACTATATTACTAAGATTAGAAATATAAGTTAACGCAGATGGGTCTAAACCTTTTCCAATTTTGAAATCAATACTAGGTGATTTTGCTTTTTATGCCAACATCGTAGGGTCTGCATGATTGACTAACGTGTTAGCTAGTTAACTAGTGTCTATCATGTAATAGACACTAGTTAATATATGATATTAGGGCACTAACACTATAATGAAATATATAAATTGACACCCTTCTGGCTTTCAACAGATAAAAATTAAAATTATACCTTGAAAAATAGTCCTTACATGGTTTATGTTGTCTGTTTGGGTTTGTGTAAACACATCGGGTGGTATTCTTGAAAGAGTACTAACTTTAGTCCGTGGTTTAATCCACCGACTTAGTATGGAATGCCAAGTGTCCATATGAATATATTTTTTAATATTTTGATGTGTCCCTCAATTACCATGATAACATTATTATATCATAGTTTTATTGTTGTTTATTACATTTTATTTTAATTTAGTGACAGATTAAATTATTAAAAAACATATTCATATAGACACTTCCACTTTCGAGAATACCACCTTAAAGGTATAAACAAAACACTTATTTGTTATCCCATTGTGTATTTTTTATTTTCACTTTTGTATGATGTTTATTCTGTTGGTTTTGTGCACAGTGGTACCACTGTTGCTGTCTGTATGTATTGATTCTTTTCCAATCTCATGAAGATTTGAGAAAATAAAGAAATATTTGAAACTATGTCACAGTGTGGTAGTTATGTATATAATTGTGTCTTCTGTATCTGGGGATATCAAGGAGAACTAATAGGATTGGAAGGTATGTATTGAATGGAAAGATAGAAGAGAAGATGAAAGATGGAAAAACAAAGAGTAACATAAGGAAAACTGAAAGTGAAAATGATAGAAGGAAAAACAAAGATATAACATAAGGAAAGATAGAGAGAAAATAATGATAGGATAATAAAACAAAGAATACCGTAAGAAGTGAACAAAGGAAAAACAAAGAATAACATAAAAGAAACTGAAAGTAAAATAGAAGGAAAAACAAAGAATAGCATGAGGAAAGATAGCAAGAAAATAATGATAGAATAATAAAACACAATATCACAAGAAGTGAAAGAAGGAAAAGCAAAGGCGGAAATCAGGAAAGACAGAAAGAGAAAATGATATATAATAAAAAAATTCAAATATAAAGAGAAGAGGAAGAAAGAAAATGATGAAAAATATGGAATATCAAGAGATGAAAGAAGGAAAAAATTATCATAATTTTATCATTTTTCCCTTTATTTTCTATCTATACTATTTTGTCACCTTTCCTTTCTATCTTTCATTATGTTATTCCTAGTTTCCTTCTTTCATCTTTATATTTATTTATCCTTTTTTTTATAATCCTGCTGTTATTCATTGTTTGTCCTTCTATCATTTTCTCTTTCCGTTTTATTAAATGTAATTCTTTGTTTTTCCACCTTTTATATAGCACGCAGTAGGCAGTTAACAGTCCTTTATCTGTCCCACAGGCACTCACTGAATATTGGAAACGTACTAGCTTTGCCTACTATGGTTCACTGTTGTATAACAAACTCTCATTTTCTGTTCAGTCATGCACATCACTACATTTGTTCAAAAAGCAATGCTGCCTTTCTATGCATTTGCTGCGACTCTTTGACCTTTTTGTAACCTTTCAAATGTGCAATAGGCCTACTACACTCCATTCCTTAATTCTGTAATTATCTTAGTATTTCTAATTTTTTTTAAATTGTGTTTTTTAAATTTTATTTTGTTCGTTTGTTTTAGGTGTGGTTTCAGTGTTAGTGAAATAATTCAGTATAATTTTTTTTTTAAATAATAATAAAAATTGTACGATTCAAATATATATGTTTAATTTGATATGTCACATGTATGTATACTTTTTAATTATTGCATAAATGATACTTATGTTTTTTTATACTGTTATTGTATTATGCAGGGCTTTCTTGAAAAGCAGATCTACTGGCTTCCAGTGGGACTGAATGAAACTACCCTGTCGAAAGAAATCATGAATAAATAAATAAACCCATAAATAGTTTCTAATATTTCTTTATTCTCTCAAATCTTTATGAGAATGGAAACAAAAATCAAGACAGACAGCCACAGTGGTATCACTATGCACAAAACCAACAGAATACACATCATACAAAAGTGAAGCGAAAAATACACAATGTGATGACGAACAAGTACATTGTTTCATACCTTTGGTGTTTACACAAACCCAAACAGACAACATAACCCTGCAAGTACTATTTTTCAAGGTATAATTTATTTTTGTCTGTTTAAAGCCAGAAGGGTGTTAAAGGTAAAGACCAGTTTTGGAAACGCCCCAATTTCAAAAAATGAAATTGAAGCTCTTATTACCAATCATGTGAAAGAATGTTTTGAATAATACATGATGATAAAAATGTTGTCGGGAAACCACCTACTAATTGATATATTTGGTAAATTAGTGTATCTCTCGCCTGTTGAGAGATATGAAATGCACGTGTTGCGCACGTGTGTGTAGTCCCATATACATCTTTCTGTGTACAGTGATTCTAACTTTATGAAGACTTGGCCAAATTTCTTATCATTTTGATGATTCCAGAACCTTGCAGTACATCTATGCTAGATGATCAACCTAGTCTGATCAATTTCACAATGTTTCTTTCACAATGCAATCGCATGACCATAACTGGTCTTTACCTTTAACTCAAATATTTCATTATAGTGTTAGGGTTAGTGCCCTTGTGGCTCTTAACAGACAATCTCTTCAAATAACATATATCATCTAGTGTCTATTATGTGTGGGTCTATCATTTAGACCTCACAATGATTATGCACAAAGTGTGTGCGGGCAAGTATAGAATCCAATGACCAGGGTAATAGTATATCTGTAAAGCGCTTAGAGACATCGTAGATGTATTCAGCGCTATATAAAAGGGGAATATTATTATTTTTGTCATTTATCTTAGCATCAAATTCATTAATGGCCAGTGCGGCAAGGTAAACAAAAAAACATATCAAGTACCGTATTGACTTTAAAATTGGACAAGGTTTAGACCCATCTGGGTTAACTTATATTTCTAATCTTTATAAATAGATATCACCCTCGTTTCAGTAATTACAAAATAAATACTGGTAACTTTTCAAAATTTCTAACTCATTCTTTGTGGAGATAAGTCCAAAATATACACTTGTATAATATTTTAAAACATCTATGAAGAAAACAGAAACACAAACATACAAGAATTTGGATAACTATCGACTCTACCGTATCCACATAACATTCATAATACCTAACCAGGCTTCATACACAATAATCTCAGCTTTATAAGCTTAAAATGAAATAAAATTCTGTCGTAAAATAAAACAAATATCTGTGTATACTGGAATGCATCAGAACAATTTTTACGATAAGCGACAACATGGTATAATACTTCTTTGACTTGTCATAAATAATTTGTTTGGCACTGTTAAAAACAAATGGAGAGGAGTTGTAAGCATTATCTGTAGATATGGAGGATGAGATTAGGATTTTGTGTAAGCATTACTCTTCCAAAGTTTGCAGAAAAAGGGGTTTTTAATTTAAGTTCTCTGTTTTGTCTGTGGAATGTGGTAGTTAAAAATAAAGTGCATTTTGGCTGAAACACCAACAAAATCAAATATAAAGGGTATTGGGGATATTAAAACCTGAGATTTGAAGCATGTATGCTTTTATGTCCAACTTTGTTTTATGTAATGCTCCTAAAAATAAAAATTGAAATGCCGTAAACAGGATTAATAGAGGTATTATGTACAATCTACATTCTCCTTGATTTCATGTTAAATAGTGAAATTAATTAAAAAAGAATTCACTTGCTTTCGCAAAAAATAAGCACCATGCAAGTTTTATATCCTACAAAAATTATGTGTTACATCTCCTATTACGGAGTGAATACTCTGGGGCTTGCCACTCCCTCTTGCCCCTATTGATACTCTACTCGAGTCCCTACACAAGATTTTCAGCCATAATTGCTCAATATTGTTAACCCTTTCAGGACATGATTTATTTTTAAGGCTAAATTGATCACATATTGTTCTTCAAATTGGCACCTATAATATATGTCTATTGTTGCTACACTGTTACAATAACATGGAATGTCTCTGACAACGATATACATGGGTGAGAATGTTGTCGAAATGTTAAACAAAATGACAAATTTTGATCGAATACAATGATTTGAGTCTCTCAACGTGTTGCCAGTTTAAGGATTTTAAAGATTATTTTCCATTTCCAAAATTCCTGGCATCAAATGCAATAAAGTCATGAAACAAAAATGGCTGTAATGTGTGCAGAAATTTTGCCCTTACTATCTAGCTGGCTTATTTTTGTTAGGGCTCTGAATTAAAGGTTACCGGTATATGGGGTCAAACTACAAAATGTGGAATGACTGTCACTAAAGGATTAACAAGACAGGATTAAATATTAATAAAATCATAAAACTCTATTCAGTACTGTACATACAATATATCAAAATGTGATTGCACATGTTCCCCTAATACTTCCGCACATCATTATTTTGAGACAACATCACACAACTACTTTACAAAAATTTATCTACCCCTACCGCTAACACAAACATTTGAAATAGGTTGAAATCAACAAGCGGTTCTAGCTTGATCGAGTTATCCTTATTTTCATTTATCTGATACCGCTAACCAAAATAAATTAACTAGCCAAAATACAGCTAAGATTCAACAATATTTTGTTATACAGATGCCTTTTATGAATACACCATGATTTCGTGGGCAGAAGTGTTAGATAAATGTCATTTGGGTACTCATATATAAAATCATTATTTTTCAGACAGTTTAGTGAAACATTTATTTTTAATGTGATACACAAATCTTTGATACACGACTCCTACCAGACCTACCTAAAATCTTTTGATTTATAAAACCATTCCAAATGAAAATTAATATATGGAAAGTTTACCCTTGAACCAAATTTTTAAAAAACATACCTTTATTCTTTTTACAAACCCAAATAAAAAAAAAAATCCTCATCCACACATCAGTAATAATTTGAGGCAACAATACAAATAAATGCGGCCAATTTGAGGAGGAAAGGTAAATTCATGTAGACCTTTAGTTAATTCTAAACTGCAATGGAACAGCACATATTTTGCTACAGCGGCGGTTTAACATGTCATGTGCGAAACAAGGCGTTATTCAGCATCAATAAATAATGAGAGGAAATACTTTAACAAAACTTTCTATACCATCAAATCTAGGGTTCAGTGACACAAAGATGTAACTCCATATTTTGCCAAAATTAGTATTTGATATCAAAATGTTCAGAAAAATGTGGGCTTTCCAGAAAACACAAAGACTTAACTCCACCACACCAATATTGAAGTCAATGGCTAGTGAAACATAGTCCTTAAGGCCCAAGTGCTCAGTGACACATAAACCACTTTTTCTAAAAATGGCCAAAATGGAGTTACGTTTTTGTATCACTGACCCCTCGAAATGGCTCTAGTCTACTCCTTGTGGTGGGGTCATGTGTCAAACACGCTCTCGTCTTCTGACTCACTGTTGGGACCGCCCAAGAGGTGGAAGTTGATTGGTTTTAGGCATTGCTTGGATTTCTGTAGCCGACGACGCCCACCGGCGCCAAAGAAAAGTACGACACAGACTATGAGAGGAAGAAGACCTGCTAGAGCCAAGCTGCTTGCAGCTAGTATCCAACCTAGAAAGACAGGATTAAAAATAAGAAAGTTATGAAGTTTTTAAGTCCCGATCAATCAAACACAAAATGACAACTCCGCGACGTATTTTGCGAGGTCCTCTCTCCTTTAGCTCTGTACATAAATGTTCATAAACTTTCATTTTCTTGGTTATTGTTGACGGAATAGATTTGCTTCATACAGGGGTTTAATAGAAACATATTTGCAATAATTGTATTTAGGGTGCATTTATGTATGAACATTTTCTTTAGGGATAAGAGACATTTCTGATTATTTTTTATAGTACAGAGCAAATGAGAGGGAACAGCCACAACTTAAGTTCAAAACTACCAGATATGTAATCGCATGAGTGTGTACACAAAGAAAGTAGTAGGAATAATCATAATTTTTTACAAATTCTTGCATAGCGCATAACATATCCTAATGTGCTCTGGAAGAAAAGGGAAAGAAAAGCAAAGAGAAAATTGGTCACTGAGTTCCTTTTATCTGTTACACATTTGGAATAAGTGTTTCACAGGCAGAATTGAAAATTATCTATCATAATAATGTTGCTAAGAGAGACAGGGAAGCTATTCCATAAAAAACTGGGACAGCATGGGCATACAGTATCATGGATATCTGAACATTTTGTGAGGTGACTATGCATGATTGGTTTGATCTGTTGAAAATTGATGCAAACGTTTGATCACACAAGAAAAATTGTGCCATCCTGAGCTGGTACTTGCCGTAAGCTGAATAAGTATGAAAACTTTGAATATTGGTTGTCCAACTTAGAATCTAGAGATTCAGAAGTTCTGCTTCAGGAGAGGGTTTCACAAAGACTAAGATCGACTTTAAGTTGGACTTAAATATGGACGGCCTTTCATGCCACTTTTTACTCTCATCATTTACTGGCATTGGTTTCTCAAGAGACGTACCAATCAATCATGGTCACAAATCTACAGAATTTTCATTTTTTGATAGTTCATTATTGAAGGAAAAAATATTATCTAAAGATCATAATCGAGAGACCAATGGAGAGAGCACCCAGTGGCATGAATGGCCTGCCATAGTTAAGTCCAACTTCAAGTTGATCTTAGTCTTTGTGAAACACCCCCCTGGATTCTGAGTTTGCTCAAACTGATTCAATTCATTTGGCCTACCTATATTCCACTCAACATCAAGAGGTAGCGATGGCGGTTTTCCCCTGCACAGCTCATCGACGTCATCGACCACGAAAGGTGACGCGATGTGGAAGAAGTTTTGAACAGGGCATCTCTCATTGCATTCTGGGAACTTGAGGAGGTATGGTGGCTTTGAAGTGTCATTTCTAAATAATAACTGCACTGTATGTGAACTGGAGAGTAAGAGAGAGAAAGATAACAAAACATGGAACAAGGTTTTGAACATGACATATTTCTGACTGCACTTTAAGAACTTGAGGAGGTATGGTGGCTTTGAAGTGTCTTTTCTGAATAATAACTGATCTGTATGTGAACTGGAGAGAGAGAGAGAATGAGAGAGAGAGAGAAAGATAACAAAACATGGAACAAGGTTTTGAACTGGACATTTCTGACTGCACTTTAAGAACTTGAGGAGGTGTGTTGGCTCAAAGTGTCAGTGCTGAATAAAAGGGACTTTTAGATTTGCATGTCGACAAAGTGGACTGCTAAGTGTGACGTCCTTTTAAGGCACTGGCAGCGCCTTAAAGGACGTCACAGTGCCTTATAAGGACGTCACACGTAGCAGTCCACTATGTCAATGTGCAAATCTAAAAGTCCCTAATAACTGCACTGGAGAGAGAGAGAGAGAGAGAGGGAGAGAAAGGTGATAACAGAAACATGGAAAAAAGTTATGAAAAGAAAATTTCTCACTGCACTTAAAGAATTTGAGGAGGTATGAAGGCTATGAAGTGTGATTTCTGAATGACACTTTTGTCATCAATAATTACACCTTATGTGAACCAGGGAGAAAGAGAGAGAGAGACGGAGAAGGAACAAAAGATGATAACAAGATTTAGAACCTAACATTTCTCATTGCAACTCTTGGAACTTGGAGGTAAAGTAGCTTTAAAGTGTCAATTCTGTATTGGTGAGAAAGATGAAAAAAAAGACAAATGGCATTATTAGCTAGCTATGTCCTCATTGAATCAAAGTCCAAATGGAGACTTGCAACTCACCCATCATCTTCTTTGTACAGTTCCACCATGATACAGGAAGCGGTGGGAGGAGCGACGTTTGTGAACAAACCAAACAGACCTAAAAACGGTGCTAGGTTGTCATCGTGCTGAGGGTAAAAAGAGAGAAAGCATCATGATGATTACTGGGAGCAAGGGTGACTGATGGGGCTTTGCAAGGAAGTTGCAATCGATTGCAAGTTGCAGAATTCGCGACTAATACTTGCAATCGATTGCAACACAACTTTCAGGGGTGATAATGAGCACTAAAAAAAAAAAAGGACTAGGGGGAAAAAAAAAACATTACCCCCCCCCCCCTTTTTGAGCAAGAAAAAAAGGGGGGAAATAAGGGGGAAATCCAGAAATTAGGGGTGAAATATGGTAGGGAAAAATAATAATAATAATAATCAGGAAAAAATAAAAAATAATCGGGAAACCAATTTAAATCTGGTAACTATCAGGCCTAACTTTTGAACAAAATGGATTCATGTTTTTTTCATTTTTATATGAACTCTTATGGGTTAAGCACAAAAGAAGTGTCTCAACTTACCCCAGAGTACATAAATATCCTACTGTCATTGTTTGTTCTGTTTAAATGAGCCTTCATATTTGCAATCATTGCTGCTAAAAGAACTCCTAGAAAGACAAAAATTAGAGAGAATGATGTAAATTAGAAGAATGAAAATACATTTACCAGCATACAGTGAGTTTACAAGAATAAATGATCTGTTACGACTCTATTTTGGGTTTTTCCCAGTCACAAATTTGTCACAATTTGGCACCCAGCAGAGCGGATCAGTGATTTAGTATGACGGACACTCTCATCTATACAGTCCGAATTTTACTTTGACATTATCTCTTATTTTGACAGGTATATTCGGTAAAACCTGTGTATAATTAATTACCACTCAAGGGGGACATGAAAAGTTGCCTTTATGTACAGGTTCCTTAAATACAAGTTTCACAAGGACACACTTCTCAAGGGGAAACATAAAATAAGGTCTTTCTTCAGGTTGATATGTTTCAGTTTTGAATGCTTTAAATACATATTTTTGGATTCATTAAACTTTTTATTTCAAGTAAAAAAAAAAACTTAAAAAAAAAAACGACCATAGATTTTAAGATTTTGGGGTCCATCGCAAAGGGTAATACAAGATTATTTTTTTTTAAAGCCTCATCGGAAACCAGGTTTTGCTCCATGCAGTAGCGCTTCATTTCGTAATAAGCGTTAGTTCATTATTTTCTGATCCATAGAGAGACTCTAAACAAAATTGCAAATGAACGAGTGGTTTCCTAAGCCTCAACATATCCAGTCTTTCTAAACAGGTGTTCACTGAAGCAGGTTTGGAGGCATTTTAACAAATTGGAATTAAATAAATTGAACTCAAATTTAAAGAAAAAAAATCCAACCTGAAGTAATTCTTTTCTCGTCTGTTGTCATATCGGAGAAGTCTGCTTCAAAGGCAAAATCATGCGTAGCTTTTAATTTGTTGAAGGTCTCGTCATCCGCCCATTCCGGTAAATTTCTTCCTTCTTTACGCTAAAAAGAAACGAAATAAAGAAAAATAATGCTGCTCTATAAAATATATTGAAAATGTAAACATGAAAATTAAACTCTTTTGATAAGGGTAAAAGTGAGAAGGGCGAGTTCTGGTACACATTAAAAATAATCAGTGAACTTTCTCATTCTCTGTATGTCAGTTCTGAAAAATATCAGAGAAGAAATTACCCCTATAATAAGGATTGCTCTTCAACTGCTCTGATATTTGAAATGTGACAAGAACTAGCTGTTTAGACCAAACTTGACGGCCTGTAGTTATAGCGAAGTTAGCAAGGTTGAAGATACAATAGCTTTTTCGATAGATTTTTAGTTGATTTATACGTTAATCCAGGGCCGAAACTATACATATATATTACTTATCGGTATCTATTTCAATGTGATGTGCACTCTGTTTACCCTTATACTGACATAGCACATGTATCTACATCTGTATATGCAATTGTATTATAAGTACCCAATAATTCAACCCTAATTAACATGCCTCTACTAAAATCTATTTAGGCCTGTCTTCATCAGCTCGAGTTTGCCAAATAACCCGCTATTTTAACTATTACGCAATGTTAATTTGCGTCTTCATCAGCCCACAGTTGCAGTTAGCGGGATATTTGGTCGCGCAAATTTCCTGAGAAATCTTGGCCTTGTTTCTATAATATCCTGCTATTTGGGAAATAGCAAGCTAATTTGCGTCCGTCCAATCTAGTTTGTGATGAGCCTATCGGTCTGGTGAAGGTGCAATTTCGAGCTTTGGGATAATATTCAGAGTCTGAAAATAGCAGGTTATTTGGTAAACTCGAGCTGATGAAGGCAGGCCTTATGTAAACTATGTCCTTTTCTCAACAGATCCCTCAACTTCTCTGTCGTCTTCCCCAGTTGGTCCCTTTTCATATCTCCTTTTCTCTCTTTACTTTTTAATTAGAAATTTGTTAATGCCATACATGCCAACACTGACAGCAAAGAAATAGGAACAAATTATGCTATTTTCAAAAAAAAGAGGAACAATCCTAACTCTCCTATTCAATACTACAGACAAATTTGTACAGAAAGAGGAACACCTGCATTAAAATGATAATTATCTTTTCCCAAAAAGAGGAATGTTCCTCTTTAATCTGAACAGTTGGCATGTATGTAATGCTCATTATCAATTTGAAGTGCAGTATTATGAACAATTATTCTTCTTAATTTGTGTTTCTTGTCAATTTGGTTGAATTAATTAGGTTCCGCTATATAACTTTAAACAATGTAGCTATGTAATCCTTGTTTGATTCAGTCTTTGGACTGTTTTTACAAGGAATTTTCGTTTGATAAACCAAAATGAATTGATGAATGAATGAATGATCTCTCTCTCTCTCCCTCCCTCCCTCTCTCTCTCTCTCTTTCCCTCCCTCTCTCATTCCAAAGTCTCAGAGCACAAATCTACAACTCACCTCTCTTATCAAAGTATCTCCCAGGTGATAGAAATTCTCGAAGATAACGTCTCCCGAAAATCCTGCTTTCTCATGAACTCTATCAAAGAAAATCTAGCGATAGAAAATATATCAAGATAGTTTAAATTTCTCACAAACCAAGAGGCAATCTTCACAACAACAGATCCAGTATACAGAGTGCTTTCTGAAGATGTGTATTGTGTTGCCAATTTTCACAGTAAACACTCTAAAGGTCATCTCGAGTTCCTGTATTGGAATAGCCTTTCAGAAGCTGTTCTGAAACAATTCTTAATTGAATATCATGCATGCAGTTTGTTTTCAGCATGAAATTTAAAAAAAATTATATTCATAAAAAAAAGCACATCTGAAAATTATACATTGGTGCATGCATATCATGCAAGTTGGTTGCGATAGACTATGTGCTTGATTTCTTTCTCTTTCTTTGCACGTTTGTCATATACATTTTATACTCTGGTAGTTATTGGGCAGATAGAAATCATTACCCTCGCCCCCTTGTAAATTACACAATTGTTATTGGATGACCGGGTAAAGAAGCTGGAAGCTGCAGGGATGAAATGTCTATTAAAGAGGTGTGAGAGGAGTAACAAGAAAAGAGAGGAAGCGAAATGATGAAGTATAAAAGGAAGTAAAAGTGACAGAGATAAGGGAGAAGATTAGAGAGAGAGCTGACTGAGATGGTATGGACCCGTGGAGAGGAAAGATGAAGATGAATCAATTAGATGAGCAGCAGAAAGAAAGGAGAGAGGAAGGAGAAAGACTCAGGAAGAGGTGGAGGATTGCATCATTGTAGAGGTGCCGTGGTCGAGTGGTTAAGTCGCCGGACTGTCGATCACAAGGTCCGCAGTTCAAAACCCTCCCTTTAACCCCACCTATAGTACGGGGTTAAGCAACATTTTGCCAGTGTGAAAAGAAAGTGGAATAAGCTTAACCCCGGACTATAGGTGGGGCTAAGATACCCTTTAACCCCACCTATAGTACGGGGTTAAGCAAAATATTGCCAGTGTGAAAATAGTATAGTATAGGTCACTCATGTAATTTGCAAACATTTTTTTTTACAATACAGGAGCTTGTGAGAACTGGGCCCCCATCTAATAAAGAGTTGATATAATTCGCAAGTTGGGTCTTGCGATTGATTTGGATCAATCGCAACTCTAATATATGACGGGGTCCAGACCTACCTGGTTATCTTTAATATATTGCTGCTCGGCAGGGCTGTTCTCTATGTAGTAATCGCTCACTCTATCACAATTTTGTAACCTGCTTCCACTCAGTAACTGTGTAGTAAATCAAAACGGAGTGTTCTAGAAGTTAATGCTACTGTCACAAAGGTTCGTACGAACGATAATTTTGTACGAATCTCGCTGCTTTTCCATTGTCTTCCTGAATTTCCATTGTCTGAAAATCGTTCATACGGCGTTCGTAGCAGTTCGTAATGGCATTTGTGACCGAGGCTTTAGGGGAAGTCCACTCTGGTATTTATATCTCTTCTGAAGACATTTATGTTAATCCAATAGTCAAATTATTTCCTTACTAGTACAATAAGATCGTAATTATTCAACTATTACAATTGTAATCATAAGTTCATATATATTATATCTGATTTTTTTTTCTTTCTTCATCATTGTATACGATATGTTTTTCTGTTAATTCATGCATATTTAAATCTTTATGTAATATATTGTATAATTGATTGTTGTAAAGCGCATAGAGAATTTATTATTATGCGCTATATAAAAATGACCTTATTATTATTATTATTATTTAGAATTATTTTCTCAAAGCAGAAAAATGGAAGAGTCACATAAGAGACAGTTTTTGCAAAGTCTGATTAAAAATATGAAAGCTTTGAATTTTTGAAGTTTCAATAATACAAATTGGCAACTCTGTGAGGTAACTTTTAAGGTCCTCTTTCATTTGCTATGTATTATTGAATATTTCATGAATTATAATGTTTTGATAGGTGTTTTCAACTATCTAAAATTCATAACTCTCTTACGATTTGTCCGATTCTGTTCACACTTTCACCAGTCTGTCTCTCTGTGGTTTCTTTCTTTTTAGAACAGTTTGCTTTCAAAGCTGTTTTGATAGAGTTGAGCCCATTATTTTCTAATGCACTCAATTATTTATATTCACTAAATAATCACCCCTTCACTAAGTTCACTGTAATTAATAGACAATTAATTTCATAATCCAGTACACAACATCATCTTGTAGGGAGGACAAACCAGCGATATACTTACATAATCTTGCCCTTCGGCCACAGTAAACACTGGCACCGGTGGCCATAGAGGTGTTCCACTTGATGGCTCCCCTCCCCCTGACTCTGCTGGAAAGAAACCCTGCAGGTTGGATTGTGCAGACATGATGGTGCGCTCTCTCGGTGAGCTACGAACGTAGAATTGTTTCGGGCGGTAGATGCCGTCAAACAGTTTCAGGTCGGTCACGTAACGCTTCCTCAACCACTGCCCCAGTTTATACTGTTGGGCCATGCCCCTCTATCGTAGAAAAATAAAAACAGAAGTGCCATTTTATCCAAAAGAAAAACAGAAATAAAACCACCACCACCTCCTCCTCCTCCCTCCCTCCCCCCCCCCCCCCCCCTCCCCCTCCTCCTCCTCGAAGATTTTTTGCAGAACCTTGACATGAAGTGTGTCATATAATAAGGGAAGGGAGCGTGTGCCAATAGTTTACAAGGTGCAAGTAAAACAGCATTGGATCTATCTGCTGCAGCACCTCATTGGAGACAAAAGGCTTCAAAAGCTTGGTGTAAAAATAGCCCTAAGCTGGCATGACAATGTAAAAAGATATTTCTGCTTATTATATCTCTAGATTGTATACTTTATTTTTGTAACAGCCTCACAGAAGGTCTTTAGAAAGTGGAAATTATTCTCATAGAATACCTCAGTCAGCTGTCCGAAACCTTGGGGCCATGTGTCTTCCGTATAGTTGTCATTTGGGTAGCCATTTGTGGGCGATCTATCACCATGACGAAACAACTGAAGGAAAAAATAAAATAGTAGTTTAGACAATGTTCTTAGTACCTTATTAGTACTACCTTTACACTCTATATTGTTCCAATGACACATAATTAAATGTCTTTGCAATTCAGTCACTTTGGCCCGAATTCACAAAGGAGGTTTGTCGACAAACCTTGGTTTTCGTACGTCATATGAGGCGTTTTACGCGTCTTTTTTACAAAACCTGGTTTGTAAAGAACAAAAGGAGGTTTGGCAAAACAAAAGGAGGTTTGAGCTCAAACCTTGCTTTGTGAATTCGGGCCTTTATGTTTCAGGTAAAGACTACACTACTCTTTCATATCCTTCTTGGAAATATCTTTTTTATACATTTGCATCACATTCTGAAATTTCAAATTTGTACTGAATCTTTCTTTTTTGAAAGCCATATTTCTCTTTAAAGCCTGTCTGCACTAGTTTAGCCAGGAGGGATTAGACCTCCCTGCACGGTCACTGACAGGTTGTTATCTCATCAAATCAGCTCTCAATTAACATGTCATAAGAAAAGAGGATCATGGGGGACCAACGGGTACCGCTTAGGCATTGTTTGCTAAATAGAGGGCGCAAGAATAGCCAACTAGAGCAATCATGCTTTAAAATGCATCAATTAATGTTACATTCAATGATGATTAGTATTCCTCCTCCTTTATAGCACAGCTTTTAATACACATCCAGGATAGTAATGCAGCTATGTGTGAAGCACACATAGCTGCATTACTATCCTGGCTGTGTATCTAGTATTATATCCCGCATACTAAGAATCTTGCAATCTGATTGGTCTAAACGAGTTCACATGATAAATATAGATAATTAAGTACTATCTACCTTAGATAGTTCTTTTGTAAAGTAATTTTTTGCTGCTACCCCACTCGCCCACCCTTGCCCATTGAATACGCATAGCAAAGTAGGTTACGCGAAATGTCAAAGTCAATGTCAATGTCAAATGAGCATGCATCGACTGTAGACTATTACATGTATGCATGTTGCGCTTTGTAAAATCTAGCTGAAGCTAAACTGTCTGCAGAATCAGTCCTTATTATGTAAAATTCACTTTAAATATATTGCCGATATGGGATATAAAACAAATATTATTAACCTCCTTTACTCGGGCAATGGATACAAATTATCATCGCCTCAGTGATCAGTTGAGTTTTGTACAGTGGTGTTTGAAATGTTGAGAATCAATAGCACAGCTATAGCCTATAGGCCTACTACTAGTAGTAGCTGTGCTATTGATTCTCAACATTTCAAACACCACTGTACAAAACTCAACTGATTTCACTCAAAATCGGTACTTCAGAAGTTCAGTGACAATTGATGACACCTATTAAGGCTAAATAGCAGTAAAATACAATTTTTTAAACTTTCCGATGTTAGAAAAAATAATTTAAAAATTCAAATAATGAGTCCACTGTCAAACTTGCCGATCAGCCGCATCGGCATGATTGTGTGCATCTATGTGTAACGAGTGTATTGACTATTCATGTATTCAAATGCTGCCTATTCACGTAAAGCAGTGCTAAAGGTCAATACGCATTAGCTTTGCTGGAGTGCTCTGGTTGAAGTAGCAGTCGAGGTAATAACACCACTGACGAAATAAAACATAATAAATTGATCATCTTACTCAACAATGAGGCTAAAAAACGGACATATTACCAAATTCACAAGTTTGATGGTTCTCTCACAGGAACTAATTGATAGAAAAGACGAGAAACAGGCGAAAAACAGCAATAACATGCTCCACATCTTCAGAAATTGTGATGCCGTGGAAGCTGCCATCTTGGATACAATTTTTGGCGTAGTCTTCTCCCTATTTGGCAAGCAAAATGTGGTGTGAGAAATATAAAAAAAAGTATTCATCATTAGCTGATAAGTGGACTGATAAGTGAACAAAAATGAAACAGATAGATAAGAATTTATAGAAATTTGCTGTTAATAATAAGCAGAACCAGAATATTTCATTAAGTAATACATGTACAAGTTTATTGGTAAGTATATTGGCGTCTTGAAATGAGACTTGCAAACTGACACATTCCCAAATGGCCAGGAAGAGCATATGTTTTTTATAGACACTAAGGGGCCGTGGCCACTAACAGTAACACTAGTAAAATAAAAAGGAGTAAAATAATTGCTTCCAGAAGCAACTGTGACAAGCACTGCCGGGCGTTCCATCAGGCGCGGATCCAGGGGGGGGGGGGGGGGGGGGGGGGCCGAGCGGGCCTTGGCCCCCCCCCCCCCGCAAAAAAAAAAAAGAGAAGAAGGAAACAAAGGGAGAAAGAGAAAAAGGAGAAAAAGGGAAAGAAAGAAGAGGAAGAAGAAAAGTAAAGGGGGAAGAAGGAGATCGGGGGGGGGGGGGGGCCGAAAGGGCCTTGCCTCCCAGGCTGTTAACCCCCCCCCCCCCCAATCAAAACAAAATAAGAGAGAAGGAAGGAAAGGGAAAGAAAAAAAAGGAAAAGAGGAGATACTGGCGTACTGATAGAGGGGGAGGGGGGCTTGGGGGACATCAAATTCAAACGTGGTTTATTACTGATTCCACAACGGTGTAGTACAAATAATGCTGAAATGACATAACTTCCGAAATTTTTCCTCACTTTTTAGTAAATTATACGTTTGTATGTGTTTGTTGGAAAATAAAAAAAATTCCTAAATTTACAACCAGGCAAAAAATATGATTCTTGAGATTCCTACATGTCAGGGCCCGAGGAACGGCGGGGATCGAGAGCCTCGAGGCATCAAAATATGCTCATCTGACCGTGATTAAATGCCTGAAACCCCTAAGCTTCCGGGGGCTTTGCCCCCTGGATTCCATCTAGGGCCCTACGGCGGGCTCTTATAATTATGATCATCTGAGGGTAATTTAATGCCTAAAACCCCTGATTTTTTGGGGCTCCGCCCTGGACCCCACGCCAAATAGTGACTTGCCAGTGTCACAAAATAATAAGGTATACACAAAAATATGCTCATCTGACCTTAATTAAACGCCTAAAACCCCTGAGCTTCCGGGGCTGGCTCCGCCGCCTCGACCCCACCTCTTTGAAATTCAGACAAGGATTAAGAGTATAGAGAACGGTACAACGCATCGTTTTCTTTCTCTAATAATAAAACGTCAAAGCCTCGCGCAGGAGGGGAGGAGGGGGGGGGGGCTGAATTGAGACGAGGATTTAGATGCGAGAACGGTAATACGAATCTTTAATTATTGAATGAAACGTAAAAGCTTATGCACTTCGCGCGGGATGGAGGGGGAACTAAATTCCGATGAGGATTATTTTCGAGAACGGTACAATGAATCGTCTTCTTCTCTAATGATTAAATGAAGATTAAAAGCTTCCGCGCTTTGCGCGGGAGGGGGGAACCTGAATTCAGACGAGGATTAAGAGTCGAGAACTGTACAACGAATCGTCTTCTTCTCTAATGATTAAATGAAGATTAAAAGCTTATGCACTTCGCGCGGGATGGAGGGGGAACTAAATTCCGATGAGGATTATTTTCGAGAACTGTACAACAAATCGCCTTCTTTCTCTAATGATTTAATGAAACGTAGAAGCTTCCGCGCTTCGCGCAGGAGGGGGAGGGGGAGAAATTGAATTTAGACAAGAATTAAAAGTCGAGAACTGTACAACGAATCGTCTTCTTCTCTAATGATTAAATGAAGATTAAAAGCTTCCGCGCCTCGCGCGGGAGGGAAGAACCTGAATTCAGACGAGGATTAAGAGTCGAGAACTGTAAAACGAATCGTCTTCTTTCTCTAATGATTTAATGAAACGTAAAAGCTTCCGCGCTTCACGCGGGAGGGGGGGGGGGGAGGGAAAAACTGAATTTAGATGAGGTTTTAAAGTCAAAAAAGGTACAACGAATCGTCTTCTTTCTCCAATGATTTTATGAAACGTAAAAGCTTCCGCGCTTCGCGCAGGAGGGGGGGGGGGGGGGAAGGGAAAAACTGAATTCAGATGAGGATTAAGAGTCGAGAACTGTACAACGAATCGTTTTCTTCTCCTAATAATTTAATGAAACGTAAAAGCTTCAGCGCTTCGCGCGGGAGGGGGGAAAACTGAATTCAGACGAGGATTAAGAGTCGAGAACGGTACAACGAATCGTCTTCTTTCTTTAATAGTTATATAAAACGTCAAAGCTTCCGCGCTTCGCGCAGGAGGGGGAGGGGAGGAACTGAATTGAGACAAGGATTAAGAGTCGAGAACTGTACAACGAATCGTTTTCTTTCTCTAATGATTTAATGAAACGTAAAAGCTTCCGCGCTTCGCACGGGAGGGGGGGGGGAACTGAAATCAGACGAGGATAAAGGGTCGAGAACGGTACAACGAATCGTCTTCTTTCTTTAATAGTTTAATAAAACGTCAAAGCTTCCGCGCTTCGCGCAGGAGGGGGGGGGGGGGGGGGGGGGGGGACTGAATTTAGACAAGGATTAAGAGTCGAGAACTGTACAACGAATCGTCTTCTTTCTCTAATAATTTAATAAATCGTAAAATTTTCCGCGCTTCGCGCGAGAGGAGAAAAACTAAATTCAGACGAGAATTATTTTCGAGAACGGTACAACGAATCGTCTTCTTTCTCTAATAATATAATGAAACGTCAAAGCCTGGGAGGGGGAACTCGCCCCCCCCCCCCGCATTACGTCACTGTTGGTCACCATAACGTACCAATATTTGGCTCGCATAATTTCAAATTTGGGCCCCCCCCCCCCTAAGAAATCCTGGATCCGCGCCTGCGTTCCATACTTACATCATGTAACACTGCACATGTACCGTTAAGGAGTCCAGTGGGGAAATTGAATTCAGACAAGATTAAGAGTAGTGAACAGTACAACGAATCGTCTTCTTTCTCTAATAATTTAATGAAACGTGAAAGCTTCCGCGCTTTGCGCGGGATGGGCGAAAATGAATCCACACAAGGATTAAGAGTAATAATTAATTAAGACGTCAAAGCTTCCGCGCTTCGCGCGGGATGGGCGAAAATGAATTCAGATAAGGATTAAGAGTAATAATTAATTAAGACGTCAAAGCTTCCGCGCTTCGCGCGAGATGAGCGAAAATGAATTCAGACAAAGATTAAGAATAATAGTTTAATGAAACGTCAGAGTTTCCGCGCTTCACGCGAGATGGGCGAAAATGAATTCAGACAAGGATTAAGAGTCGGAACCGGTACAATGAATCGTCTTCTTTCTCTAATAATTTAATGAAGTGTCAAAGCTTCCGCGCTTCGCGCGAGATAGGCGAAAATGAATTCAGACAAGGATTAAGAGTAATGATTTATTGAAACGTCAATGCTTTCGCGCTTCGCGCGAGATGGGCGAAAATGAATTCATACAAGGATTAAGAGTAATAATTTATTGAAATGTAAAAACTACGGGAGGGGGGGGGCGACTGGATCCAAACAAGAATTAAGAGTCGAGAACGGTACAACGGATCGTCTTCTTTCACTAATAATTTAATGAAGTGTCAAAGTTTCCGCGCTTCGCGCGGGAGGGGCGAATAGAAAAAAAAACTTAGTTCCTGGCCCCGGGTTTATAGGGTTAAATTTGTAGACATTTGGACATTGGCTATAATATATTTGTCGGTAATTGGTTGCTCGTTTTTGTGAGTAATTGGTGGCTCCCTCCCCACTCCCCCATTGACAAAGGTCTAGCGACGCCCCTGATAACGACACAGTTTATACACTCGAGAAAATGTTTGCAAATACTACTGATGAAGTACCGGACCACCGTCTTTGTGCATTGTGCGGCATCAAAGCATATACAACGTCTCAAGACGTGACAGATCACTTTTCTCTAACTTCTAACCAATCAGAAGGCCTCGTTTTTTTCTCCAAGGAAGTGCCGGTGGACATTATGCGCCAAATGTTGTTCTCAAATTGCAAAAGATCCCTACTATTGGAAGGGGTAGGAGAAATCAATTTTACGTCATATTGCTCCAGGAAGTGCCTGAAAATGCGTCTAATTTGGTTCTAAAATTGCAAATGCTTCCAACCCCGCCGCTTGGTCGCTCCGCTCCCTCGCCGCTAAAGCCCTGTTCTGTCGCTTCATCGTTTTTCATATATTTAACGTACCCCATGCCATTTTATGCCCCCCCCCCCCCCCGGTAAGAAATTCCTGGATTCGCCACTGATGCCCATACCCCTTGAGCTTCGGGGGCTCCGCCCCTTGACCCCCGCCGGGGCTTTGCCCCTCGACCCCACTTTGCGAAACGTTCAGCGGGGCCTGCATGTTAGAGTGGGGTGCTGCGGATTTTTTTTTGTCAGCCCCCCCCCCCTCCCCCCCCCCCCAAACGTTTTTGCTCATTACGCCACTGAATGGAGGTCTTTATAATAGCGATACGCGCATATCGTGGACATATTGTGCGAGAATGGGAAAGCGCGTCCGTTTTTTTTGTTATAGGGGTGAGAAGACATGAGTCCCTGAACGCTGGCGTACTGATGGGGGGGGGGGGGGGGGGGGTGGGGTGATGTATTTCTTATTCGAAACAAGTGATTTACAAATGTTGATGTTGCGTCATGATTTTTCGGCATTTTTTCTCCATTTTTTTTGTAAGTCATACCTTTTTATGCGTTTGTTGGAAAATAAGAAATTCCCAAATTACAGTCAGGCGAAATACGCTTATTTAGAAGCCCTTATGTCATGGTCTGCGAAGTGGCTGGGCGCGAGCCCCCCCCCCCCCCTCCTTTTTGAAAAAGTATGTTAAAGGTAAAGACCAGTAATGGTCATGCGATTGCATTGTGAAAGAAACGTTGTGGAATCGATCAGAAAAGGTTGATCATCTAGCATCTAGCATCTG